CCTGCCACTTTAGGTGTATGTGGCTGGTGCCTTAGCCACTTGAGCCACAGGCGCTGAACCTAATCTTAGTTTTTCAAAAGAATGCAAGTAATGTGGAAATTATCTCACATCTCCCCTTTCTGTTTTCTGATGACAGGTATTCATGTCTGTCACCATCAAGTCAAACACAGCTGCATGTCTCTTATTTTCTTCCTCAGCATTCCTAACTCTTCTACAGATCACATACAAAATCAATCCTAAAATTAAAAACAAAGCTAATGATCTGAAAGAACTTCCAATCAAACCTTCAATCTTAGTAATAGGATTAATTTGTTCAATACCATCAGCAATACCTCTCAAGATCTGATCCCCATCAATTTTTTGCAACTTATTTTCAAAGGTGGAATAAACCTTATGTTGTAAAATAACAATTTCTTTAAATTCTCATGATTCAACAAATGTTTCTTAAAATTATCCCAAGGAAATTCAGTTTCATTATATGTAACAGGTATAACACAGAAAGTAGTCATATTCTAATCACATTTCAATTTGATTTGTTTCTTCAAACTAATTCATCACCTAACATAACAACAGCTTGTTCTAAATCAGAAATCTCATTATATAATTCAGTATCAATTTGCTTTTGTGCAGTCCATAACTGTTCTGACTCTCAATGTCAGTCTGACACAAAATTCTGTTTGATTTCCTGCATGAGCGTGACACCCACAGAAGCTGCTAACGTAGTAACTGCAATTATTCCTAAGATGGCAGCAATGATTAGTCCCACATAACGTTTTCCTCTCTTCAGAATTCTGTCTGCCAACAACTGCAATATGGATAAGGCTGGGGATTCTTGCCAAGGTCTGGTCAAATTCACTGGAACCCACATGCCCGTGCGTGCTCTTAGAAGATAAAGTTGTTCCTTCATAGGATTAAAACTCACTAAATTATTCAGACAAGTAAATAGTTGACATTTAGGGCAAAACAATTATCCTGTATTTTTAGTCCAATGAACATTTCCTTTCAGCCACACAAAAGGTAATTTTAAACAAGCTTGGATATATTTTACTTCTTGTACTTCAAATTTCATTTCATATGGTACAGAAGTATGTCTAGTATGTTGAAACAGACCACCTGCCCAAGCCTTAAGTGGCTGTAGGGCTGCTGCATCTAACTTGGATTTTTTGTGGAATTATTTTTGAAGCGGTCATTCTGTATACTATGTATTCCCATAGCTCTTGAGATTGAATTTTATCTTCTGAAATTTCTAAGCCAAATTCTTGACAATGCTGCTTAACTGCTTCAAACATTAATTGTAATTTATTTCTATCTAGATGTACTATTAATATATCATCCATATAGTGTAAGTAGATTCCTTCTAGGAATTTCTTTCTAACAATTTCTAAAGGTTGATCTATAAACAACTGACATAAGGTGGGGCTATTTAACATTCCTGAGGCAGGACTTTCCATTGATATCTTTTTGGTGGCTGTCCTACATTCAAGAGAGGAATGGTGAAAGCAAATCTCTCTGCATCTTTTGGTCATAATGGAATTGTGAAAAAACAATCTTTTAAATCAATAATGATTAGTGAATGAGACTTAGGAATTAAGGCTGGATTGGGGATGCCAAATTGCAAGGCACCCATAGGCACTATAATAGCATTGATTTTTCTTAAGTCTGTTAACATTCTCCATTTGCCAGATTTCTTTTTTATTACAAACATTGGAGAATTCCACCTGGAATTACTAGGTTCTATGTGGCCTGCTCCCAGCTGTTCAATCACTAATTCCTCAAGTGCTTCTAGTTTTTCCTGAGATAATGGCCACTGCTGCACCCATATAGGTTTGTCAGGAGTCCATTGTAAAGGTAATGCATAGTGTTGAATCACAGGACAAATTAAGACATCATTACTTAAGAGGCCATGCAGCTTTACAATGTACGTTTCCACATACATCAGCCTCTGGGCCATGTCTCTGCAGGAGAGTCTGTCAACCCCTTTCCTTGCAGGCTTAACAGCAGCATCGATCAGAGTTGCTGAAGGTGGACTTTTACCTCTGGACCTTCAATCCCTGCCATGCTGACCAAGGCAGTCAGGTCTTCAACATTCCACAAAATAGAGCTACATTCCACAAAAGCCTATTTGCCTGTTACTGAAATTTAAAATGAGCACAGAGTATGTCTTTTATCCCACAGATATCAGTATAATTTCCTTGATGAGCCAAATTACTTGGCCTGCTCCAGACTTTTCAGCAACATACACTAGAGGTTTCCAATCAATGATGGATCGGTACTTCGTCTGACCAAGTACATACAAAAACGAGCCTCAGCATTTAAACCAATGAATCCATTCAGAAATGTCACTGAACACATGAGATTTACAGAAAGGCTAGTGTGGAAAAAATGAATGCTCTGTTAAGATTAGTTTAGTTAAAGTCATAGTGGATAACATATACATTATAGATGTCCCATTATTTTTTAAACTAACCCATTGTTGTGGGCCAAAAGAAACACACAGAGGCTCAGGCCCAATACAGATCAGTGATCCTGTGACTCCTGTAGAATAGTTAAATAAAAAGGTGCCCTCTTCCTCAGGTTTGAAAGGGCCCCTATCATCATAGGCCCTGGGAGCCAAGAGCTCTCATTTACATAGATGGAAACAGAGGGCTCATACCAAAAAACTCTCCATAACGGAGGATTTGGCACATAACTCCAATAGGTGTAATTAACTCGTGAACTTACCTGAGTGGAGGATGGCAATTATCACAAGAAACAATGTTCTGGCTGTCACTGGATGATTGCTCACCATCACAATCGTTCTCACTTCCTGGCAGAGCTGGGATATTCCCCTTCATGTTGTCCTTGCGAGAGGACTCTGGTTCTGTTGTAGTCTCTGGAGGTTTGGAGGGATGAGATAATTCCTCTGTTCCTCTAGTGTTAATGCTGACATCCTCATTGTCCCATTGCTGGTGCCACATTGCTGAGCACATTGACTGGTGCAGGACATCATGTTGGAATTTGATATGTTTATCCAGGAGCCAAAATTCATTATTTCCTGTGGAAAAAAGAGCATACCCTCCACCCCATCGCACTACTAATGCAGGAAGCCATTCACCTTTAATTACATCTTTATAATATACTGGTTAGTTAACAGGTTGGGATGTTTGTTGTGTCCATAACTTAGCAGTAGGTGTTTTTCCATCTGAATCTAAATTTAAAAAATTTAAAGTAAATAGAGCAGAACGTAATCTATTTCTGCATGTTATATTATAGCCCATGCCCCCTTTTTGTTTAACAAGCATTTCTTTTAAAGTGCGATTTTGTCTTTCAATGATGGCTTGACCTGTGCTATTTCCAGGTGTATCTGTAATATGTTTAATACTATTAAGTATTAAAAAAAAGTTGTCATTTCTTTTTTTTTTGGTCACAGTTTGGCCAGAGCTGGGTTTGAACCCGCCACCCTCAGTATATGGGGCTGGTGCCCTACCCACTGAGGCACAGGCACCACTCTACATTTCTTAGATATATATGCAGACCCATTACCAGTTTTAATGGTTTGGGGGATACCCATTATGGCAAAAGCTTCCAGTAAATGGGTAATTACTGCATCTGCCTTTTCTGATTTAAGAGCAGTAGCCCAAGAAAAATGAGAATATATATCAATGGTATAATGAATATATTTAGATTTATCAAATTCTGGGTATTGAGTGACATCCATTTGCCACACCTCATTTGCTTTCACCCACCTTGAGTTGACACCTGGAGGTAAATGAGGGGTGACAATAAGTTGGCAAGTTGGGCAGATATGGATAATTTTTTTTGCTTCTTTCCAGGTTATTTGGAATTTATGTTTGAGAGAGAGACTGCATTATTATGGTGGAGAACATGTTTCTCTCGAGCCTTTTGAACAGTATCAATTGCATTATTCCCATCAACTAATGGCCCAGGTAAATTAGTACGTGCTCTTATATGAGTTATGAAATAGGCATGGTCTTAGTTCACACTAATTTCTGTAAAGAATCAAATAAACAGGCTTGGCGCCTGTGGCTCAAACAGCTAAGGCACCAGCCACATACACCTGAGCTGGCGGGTTCGAATCCAGCCTGGGCCCGCCAAACAATGATGGCTGCAACCAAATATATAGCCAGGCATTGTGGCGGGCACCTGTGTCCCAGCTATCTGGGGGGTGAAGGCAGGAGACTTGCTTGAGCCCAGGAGTTGGAGGTTGCTGTGAGCTGAGACATCACAGCACCCTACCCAGAGTGACAGCTTGAGGCTCTGTCTCAAAAAAAAAAAAAAAAAAATCAAATAATTGAAATAACTCAGAGTGATCATTTGCTAATATAGTTATTTCTATATTCTGCAGTGTATGCAGAATAAATTGAATCAGTTATAACGTTTAAAGAAGTATTAAGAAAATTTTCTAATAATAAAATTATAGCAAACAACTCAACTTTTTGCACAGATTTATAAGGAGACTGTTGAATTTTATTAATGCTCCCACACATATATCCAGCTCTACCATCTTTATTAGCATCTGTAAAGCAATTTTTAGCACCAGGAACTGGAGTTAACTACCTTAGGTAAAATCCAAGATGTCCTTTTTAAGAATTGAATATGTTTATTTTGAAGGTAACAATTGTCAATTATTCCTAAATAATCAGCTATAGCAATTTGCCAATCTTGAGATATAATAAACATATCAGAAATTTGTTTGTTAGCAGGAATATGATTTTTTCGGGGTCTTATCCCACTAATTGACGGAAACGACAACACCCCTTAATAATAATGTTGGCAATTTTTTGAATGTAAGTTTGAAGTTTTTTAGTAGCTTTATGAGATAAAAAACACCATTTAATGAAAGCATCGTGTTGGGCCAATAATCCAGTTGGGGAATGTTCAGAAGGAACTACATAAAGGACAAAGTCACGATTTTCAACAATTCTATCTAATTGAGTACTTTGAATATGTTGTTCAAGCCATTGCAATTCCTTTTCTGCCTCAGGGGTTAAAGTCCTTGGACTATTTAAATCAGTACTCCCTTCTAACAAAAGAAATAAATGAGTCAAAGAATAGGTTGGGATGCCCAACAAAGGGTGCACCCAGTTAATATCTCCAAGTAATTTTTGAAAAACATTTAGTCTTTAGAGAGTCTCTCTGGATTTGCACCTTTTGTGAAATTATTTTCTGGGCAGTAATTTTATACCCTAAATAATTCCATGGATCAGACCACTGAATTTTTTCAGGGGCTACATGAAGGCCATATTCATCAAATAAAAGATAAGCAAACTGAATAATGTTATTTAAAATGTACTGGTCAGGATGAGTGAAAAGAATATCATCCATGTAATGATAATAAATTCTGTCTAGAGGCTCAGCGCCTGTGGCTCAAGTGGCTAAGGCGGCAGCCATATACACCCAAGGTAGCTGGTTCGAATCCAGCCCGGGGCCTGCCAAAACAACGATGGCTGCAACCAAAAATAGCCTGGTGTTGTGTCGGGCGCCTGTGGTCCCAGCTACTTGGGAGGCTGAGGCAAGAGAACTGCTTGAGCCCAGGAGTTGGAGGTTGCTGTGAGCTGTGATACCACAGTACTCTACCCAGGGGGACAGCTTGAGGGTCTGTCTCAAAAAAAAAAAAAAAAATCTGTCTTGAAACGGTAAAGCTAATTTCTGCAAAGGCTGTTGTACATACATTTGACACTAGGTGGGGCTATTTAACATGCCTTGAGGCAAAATGTTCCATTGATATCTCTTAATAGGAGCACTTTTTTTTTTTCTTTTGCAGTTTTTGGCCAGGGCTGGGTTTGAATCTGCCACCTCCAGCATATGGGACCAGTGCCCTACCCCTTTGAGCCACAGGCACCCCCCAATAGGGGCACTATTATTTAGACATGGAACAGTAAAAGTAAATCTTTCAGAATCTTTAGCAGTTAATGGAATATCAAAGAAACAGTCTTTTAAATAACAATATTATAGTTTTTAGGAATCAAAGACAGATTAGGAATGCCAGGTTGAAGAGGCCCCATAGGTTCAATTATAGACTTTAACTTTCTCAAATCTGTTAACATTCTCCATTTACCAGATTTTTTTTTTAAAAACAAAAACTTAGGCGTTCCATGCACTGACTGAAGGTTTAATGTGAATTAAAGCTAGTTGCTCATTAACTAATTGATGAAGTGCCTCTAACTTTTCTTTAGGAAGGGGCCATTGCTCAACCCATATAGGATTATCAGATTTCCAAGTAAGAGGCAAGGCAAGGTGCTCAGCAGTGGCCCTTAGGGAAAATGTTCCAGAAGAACAAGAAAGCCAATTCTTGACTTATCTTTACCTTTTCTTACCTTTGCCTCTAGTTCTGGAAGGGAAGGTTGTGTGGGATCATATTCCATATTTAGCATCGTGTTCTTTATTTTTTTTTCTTTTGCATTATGTTCTTAACAGAAGATGGCATAGTGGGTATAGTTAACATAGCACCCCATTGCACCAAAATATCTATGCCCCACAAGGTGATGGCAATAGGAGCAATATAAGGTTTTATTTTAACTGGCTGGCCATCAGGTCCTTGACAAAATAAAGTTTCCGTGCTTTGCTCAATATTAGACATTGTACCACAAAAGTTGCCTGTATACGTTTAGGCCAATTTAGGGGCCAAGCTAATAATGCAATGATGGAAAACATCAGCCCCAGTATCTACAAGTCCTTCTAACTTAGTACCATCCTGGAAAGTGACCTGACATTGCAGTCAAGAATCATTCAAAAGAGCATGCCAAAAAACATGAGTTCCATTGCTGCCAAAACCTCCATTTCTCTTAACAGGGGCAGCCTTGCCTTTATAATAAGGTAGAAGTAATAGCTATGTGATACGTTGTCCCACCATCAGTGTGATCAAGTCATGGAAGCCAAAATAAAAATTTCACCATTGTTATCTGCATCTGTAACACCAACATGGATATACAGTCCTTTAATAGTGGAGCTATTCCTTCCTATTAGCCCAACTGAATCTTTTGAAATTAGACCATGAACTCCAGTAGCTAAAGTATATGGGACATCATGAGGGGTCAAAGAAATATTTTCAACAACAGGCAAATCCAAAGCAGCACTATCATGAGTAGCATGAAATAAATCTGAAACTAAAGTTTTAGTAACAGTTTGGTCAGGCTGTGAAGCGGGCACAAAACCCTGATGAATTGGGGGTAGCCCCTGACTGAGTAGTATTATTTAAGAGCGCTGGTGTTGGGAGTTGCCTGAGTCTGGGCGTGTGTTGTCTCTGTGCTGACCAGACCTGTGTTGTCCGGGCCCCGGGTCTGGCCCGTCTGGGAGTTTTTTGACTTCCTTGGTGGCAAAATATTACCATCCTTATCCTTAGTAGATCTACATTCATTAGTCCAATGCCTTCCCTTTTTGCATCGCCTGCAAATTCCAGGTGGCAGCGGAGGGTCAGAGGTTTTTTCTTTTTTGCCTTTACGACAGTCTCTCCAAATGTGACCAATCTTTCCACAGTTATAACATTTAGGATTATTATTTTTAAGGGCTGCGGTCATATGGGCCCAAATTTGATCTCCAATAAGTGAGGCCTGAGAAGAACTACATTCCACATTTTTGCAAGCTCTTAAAAATTTTTCAATGGAAACATTGTCCTCATTTCTAATTCCTGCTAATATACGACGACAGTCGTCATTAGCATTCTCATAAGCAAGGGTTAAAAAAAGCATGTCTTGCATTTCAGGTCCTGGAATTGCCCGCCTGATGGCAGCATGGAGTTTTTTTTTTTTTTTTTTTTTTGAGACAGAGCCTCAAGCTGTCCCCCTGGGTAGAGTGCCATGGCATTACAGCTCACAGCAACCTCCAACTCCTGGGCTCAAGCGAGTCTCCTGCCTCCGCCTCCCAAGTAGCTGGGACCACAGGCGCCCGCCACAACGCCTGGCTATTTTTTGGTTGCAGCCGTCATTGTTGTTTGGCGGGTCCGGGCTGGGGATTCGAACCCGCCACCCTAGGTGTACATGGCTGGCGCCTTAGCCGGTTGAGCTATAGGCGCCGAGCCGGCAGCATGGAGTTTTACAAGAAATTCTGCATATGGTTCATTAGGTCCTTGCAGTATTTTAGTAAAAAATTTTCCTTCTCCTGGGTCATCTAACTGAGCCCAGGCATGAAGGCAAACATCTCTAATTAAAATATAAACATCATCTGTAAGTTCAAGCTGTCTTTCATGTCGTCTATATTCTCCAGTGCCTGTTATTTGATCATAAGAAAGATCAGGGTTATTATCATTCCGTCTGGCGGCCTCCTTTTTCCAACATGAGCCAAATTGTAAATATTGGGCTGGGGACAATGCCATCTCAGCCAGTGTTTTCCAGTCTCCAGGAGTTAGGAAACGGTCCCCACAATAAGACCACAGTAGCCCCTGAGTACATGGAGCATTAGGCCCATATGTTATTACTGCCTCTTTTAAACTTTTTAAAAATTTAAGGTCCACCTCAACATATTGAACTTGGCCCATGTCGCCACCTCCATGGCCAGTAGTACGAGTAACTGGTATGGTGAGATCCAAATCCTGATTATAATTACATGACCCTTCAAATAAAGTATCTGGTTCATTTAGAATTTTTAAATCTTTTGGATTGGGTAAAGTAATTGTTTGAACCATCCGAGTGGATTCTAAACTTTTATACTCATAACGTGGAACAGAAGGGCGTTTCTGTGTGATAGGAAAAAATTGTTTACTCTGGTATTCTGCGGAGGAGGGGTGAGAGCATAGTGATTTAGGTTCCTCAGGTAAATTTGGAGGCGGCAGAGTAGGAGGCAGTGGAAAAAGTATGTCAGTAGAGAGCACAGGCGGAACAGAAGCCTTTTTCTTCATATCATCAATAAGATCATTACATTCCTTAATAAAACCTTTAAGATTGGTCATTTTCTCTTGCAAGGACTGAGCAGAGGAAGAGAGAGGCATTTCTTCCTCTTCTGGTTCTTCTTTAGAAGAACTTTTATTACCTAAATCGTCCTTTTTATCCAAAACTGAAAGTTTAGAGATCTCAGGCTCCTGTCTACCCTTTTCAAGCACTGATGCACGTCGGACTTGTTTTCCGTTATCATTAACAAAAGATGGCAGAGCCATTTTCACCAAGTTATATACAGTCCATACATCCTTATCAATAATATTACCCTGCTGATGAAACCGTTTCATGTCTTCCCCCACATCTTCCCAGATGGACAAAATCAATTGATTATGAGAGTCAGGTGAAAACCAGTAACAGCAATTACGAATTGTTGCAAAAAGACGGCGGAAAGATTGAGTTTTGACCGAGACACCCATAGTGTCCAACAAAGACCTTAGTAATTGGATGTATTCATCCTCAATTGAAATTGTATTTCTCATTTTTAATGTCCCTTAGAATGACAACCTGTAGAGAGTCCTGAGTACTTACAACTCAGTAGTAGCCTTCTCAATTTCGCCCATTCCCAGTGTTCTTACCTTAAGGTCAAGTGAGCAGAAGTTCTGTGAACAGTTCAACCAGGTTCAGTCCAGCCAAAGACCCTGCTCACTGTGCCCGATGTTGCTGTTCCCGGGGCTAACTGATCAGTGATGCAGAGGAAAGCACTGCAGACGAAATGAATAGCATGTAAGGGAGACTGAAGCTCAGTCAGGCACTCAGTGACTTCCCATGTTTATTAAGTGACTTACATACCCTAACTCATCAGATAAAAGTTTAAAATAGCAAATGAACGAAAAGCAGGGTGAAGCAATGGAAACTCCCATAAAAATTCTTGCGCACAATCCCAAAGCCCAGTTACTGCTAGTGGGAGCCACATTTCCCAAAGGTGTTGGCCAGTTCCTGAGTAAGGTTACCAGCCCAGATTCTCTCATGACCATCACCAGCCCCAAGCTACACTGTATCATGCATGCCTCATGTCAGACAGACATTTATGAGGTTGATGGGAGAAGAGGTGACTGAACTGGTGCAGATTCTCAAGCATCATGAAAAAGCAGACAGGACTGGATGCGCAGGAAGTGTCCTGGTGTTCTGCAATAGCTCTAGCACTGTGAACTGGCTGGGATATATTCTGGATTGTTGCAGGAAGACGAGGCCCATTGGAGAGAAAGAGCACCCAAACACCACGTTTATAAGAGGAAGGGCTTTATTCATTGGCTGGGAGCTCACAGCATAGATTTCCAAATGGCTGTGCTCCCCAACTAGCTTGGTCTTTCCCTTTCTATTGACAGTCAAAAAGTTCCATGCCATAGGTACCCTTCTCATTGGCCAGTTTGAATCAAGCGGGACATGCTACTCCAGCCCCTACAGAACTATAGGATTTCACAGAACTTGGAAATTTCCAGGTTCCAGGAAGTTAAGCCTACAAATTCCCAAGAGCTGAGTCACTATTGAAAGGACCCTGCAGGTGCATCTTTGCAGTTTCCCTGAGAGGACCTGTTCTCTAAGACCTCGCTCTTCTCGGGTATCCTCTCAGGATGACCACAAAATCCAATTTAGGTGTTTACGGGTTAATCACTTAAATATATGCTTCCTCTAACTCCTGGGCTCAGAATATTGCTGAATTTGTCTAAGTTTCTGTTTTCTCCTCCAGTACTATACAATGTGATAGGCAGGATCAAATTAATAAATTATCTATTACTAATTAAGAGACTGAAAACAACAATAACAATAATCAATAACTCATGGTTTCTATGGACAGGAATTCAGAAGTAGCTTTACTGGGCAGTTTTGTCTGAGTATATCTCAAGAGATTTTGATTAGGGCAACACCTATGGCTCAAGAAGTAGGGTACCAGCCCCATAAACCAGAGGTGGCGGGTTCAAACCTGGTCCTGGCCAAAAACTGCAATAACAAAAATAAAATTAAAAAGTTTTTTTTTTTTTTTTTTTTTGAGACAGAGCCTCAAGCTGTCCCCCTGGGTAGAGTGCCATGGCATCATAGTTCACAGCAACCTCTAACTCCTGGGCTCAAGCGAGTCTCCTGCCTCAGCCTCCCAAGTAGCTGGGACCACAGACACCACAATGGCCGGCTTTTTTTTTTTTTTTTTTGGTTGCAGCCGTCATTGTTGTTTGGCAGGCCTGGGCTGGATCAAACCCGCCACCTTAGGTGTATGTGGCTGGCGCCTTAGCCACTTGAGCCACAGGCGCCGAGCCAATAAAAAAGATTTAAATTAAATACCATCTGAGGCTGCAGTCACATCAAGGTTTGGCTGGGGCTGGTTAATCCACCTCCAAGGTAGCTTACAAGTCTGGCAAGCTGATGCTGAATGTTGACAAGATCCCTTAGTTTCTCTCCACATACACTGCTACATAGGGTTGTCTTAGTAAATTCATCACATGGCTGGCTTCCCCCAGAGCAAATGATCAGCATCCTTTTAGGATCTAGCTTCAGAAATCACACTGAAGCCATATTTTACTCATCACACAGGAGAATGTGTTTTATTGTGGGAGAAGACTATAAACATCCATTAATACCAGAAGACAAGGAGCATTATGGCCATCTTATGTAAGTGCTTTGTAAACTTTAAAACACCATGCAGACCAGACGCAGTGTCTCTTGCCTGTAACCTTAGCACTCTGGGAGGCCCAAGCAGGTGGATTGCCTGAGCTCACGGGCTTGAGACCAGCTTAAACAAGAGTGAGATCTTGTCTCTAAAAATAGTCATTGTAGTGGGTGTCTATAGTCCCATTTACTTGGGAGGCTGAGGCAAGAGGATTCCTTGAGCCCAAGAGTTTGAGGTTACTGTGAGCTGTAATGCCAGGGCACCCTACGGAGGGTGATAAAATGAGACTTTGTCTCAAAAAAATAATTAAAAATACATATAAAATGGGCTCATGCCTATAGCTCAGTGGCTAGAGTAACAGCCACATACACCATGGCTGGCAGGTTTGAACCTGGCCAGGGCCTGCCAAACAACAATGAAACTACAACAAAAAAATATCTGGGCATTGTGGCGGGCACTTGTAGTCCCAGCTACTTGGGAGGCTAAGGCAAAAGAATTGCTTCAGCCCGAGTTTGAGGATGCTGTGAGTTGTGCTACAACCAGCACTCTAACGAGGGCGACACAGTGAGACTGTCTCAAAAAAATTATATATATATATATATATACACACACACACACACATATATATACATACACACAAATGCTTAACGTTTTACACAATGACCTCACTGCCCCAGAATATCATCTAAACACTGTCTTAATTAGCATATTTTAAATGTACGCAAATAGGAATTTACTTGTCAGCAACATGGTTTAATATACTAATTAACAATTTAGGGGCGGCACCTGTGGTGCTGTGGGTAGGGCACTGGCTCCATATATGGACCCTCCCTCAACAAACTGCAACAAAAAATAGCTGGGCATTGTGCAGGTGCCTGTAGTCCCAGCTACTCGGGAGGCTGAGGCAAGAGAATCGCCTAAGCCCAGGAGTTGGAAGTTGCTGTAAGCTGAGACGCCACAGCACTCTACCAAGGATGATAAAGTGAGACTCTGTCTCTTAAAAAAAAAAAATTAATTTATATGCCACAGCACTTTTGGGAACCTCAAGTTTCACAGGCATACCATCAAATTTAGCTCACTCTCACTAACCTACTTCTACGACAAGGGAGATTAAATTACTGTTACAGTGATATTGAAGAAATGTGACACCATGCATCACTAGGCAGGACTTTCCACAGTCAAGAGGTAACTATGGATGGTATTTTCTGCAATGTATGAGAGCTCTGTGTAGACTCAAGTAGTGACAAGGGGCTGAAAGATTATAAACAATAACAGTAACAGTTAACATAAACGAAACATTTTTAGCTGTTAGACATAATTCTAAGGGCTTTTCAAGTGTAAAGTTATAAGCCTTGCAGCAATCCTTTCAGTAGGTCCTATTACAGAGGAAGAAACTAGGAACAGTAATTTACTCAAGTCAGTATCTAGTGATTAAAATCCAATGGGGCCAGTATTCAAATGTAGGCACTCTGGTTCCAGGGGTACAGAGGAACCTGACTAAATTATCAGCCTTGGTCTTCTGCTGCCTTCTTCAGCAAATCTCTAAAAATTAGGATTCTCAACTCTTACAAACATCAAACGTAAAGAAAGGGGGAAACATTTCCATTTTCACGGCTGCTCCAGCTCAAAACTTTGGAATCCTTTCCCCCCCTACAAACCTTTCAGCAAATCCTACTGGTTTTAAATTGGCACCAGTAGGCTGGGCACTGGGGCTCACGCCTGTAATCCTAGCACTCTGGGAGATGGGCCTGAATTCACAAGTTCAAGCCCAGCCTGAGCCAGAGCAAGACTCCATCCTAAAAAATAGCTTGGCATTGTGGCAGGTGCCTGCATTTCCAACTACTAGGGAAACTGAGGCAAGAGAATTACTTGAGCCCAAGAGTTGGAGGGTGCTGTGACCTATTACGCCATGGCACTCTACCCAAGGCATCAAAGTGAGGCTCTTGCCTCAAGAAGAAAAAAAATTATAAGAAGTTGGATACAGATCACATCTAACACTTAATTACTTATTATATCTAAACCTTTTTTTTTTTTTTCCAGTTTTTGGCCGGGGCTGGGTTTGAACCTACCACCTCCAGCATATGGGACCGACACCCTACTCCTTTGAGCCACAGGCGCCGCCCTAAACTTTTTTCTTTTTTTAAAGTGAGAGGATCTCACCTTGTCACCTTCAGTAGAGTCCCGTTATGTCACAGCTCATGGCAACCTCAAACTCTTGGGCTCAAGTGCTTCTCTTGCCTCAGCCTCCGGAGTAGCTGAGACTACAGGTGCCTGCCACAACACCAGCTATTTTTGTTTGTTTTAGCAGGTCCACCAGCCCCAGTCCATGTGGCACCCTAACCACTGAACTAGGGCACTCAGCCACGTCTAAACTTTTTGCATGATTCATTTAATCCTTATGCCCATCAACGAATTCTATTATTATTTCCATCTTACAAAGTAGAACAGAGGGCCAAAAGCCTATTGTACAGCACATGTTTCAGTTGAGTTGGGTTTTGTTTCGCTGGGTCTTCATTTTCATAAAAGGCCTAGACTGGGGGCCGGGCACGGTGGCTCACGCCTGGTAATCCTAGCACTCTGGGAGGCTGAGGCGGGTGGATTGCTTGAGCTCACGAGTTCGAGACCAGCCTGAGCAAAAAGCGAGACCTGTCTCCACTAAAAATAGAAAAACTGAGGCAAAAGGATCGCTTGAGCCTAAGAATTGGAGGTTGCTGTGAGCTATGATGCCACAGTACTCTACCCAGGATGACAGCTTGAGACCCTCTAAAAAAAAACAAAAAAAATTGGGAAAAAGAAAAAAAAAAGACTAGACTAAGAATGTTCTTGACCAACTCTTAAGAACTTGGCACCCAAGACCGCGGGGTTTGGTGTCCGTAACCACCATGCCTACTGGACGAGCAAAACCAGAAAAAGCGAAGAGGTACAAAGCCAACCCTCCAACGCTCGCACACACCTACCAAATCCCGACCTCAAAACACCGTATCAGAACACGAAACCATTCCAGGTAGTGCAGAAAATACCTACGTTAAAACAACCGGATGACCGGAGCTACCGAAAAGACTCCACTTCCGGCGCCAATAAGCCCCGCGTGGCGGGTCACGCGGTCGGATGCTCCGGCCTCCCTCGGCCTCTGCGCGGCTCCGCACGGACGAGCCTGAGCGCCGTTCCACGATCCCTCGGCCTCTGCGCGGCTCCGCCCGGACAAGCCTGAGCGCCGCTCCACGCTCCCCCGGCCTCTGCGCGGCTCTGCCCGGATGCCTCTGAGCGCCGCTCCACGCTCCCCCGGCCTCTGCGCGGCTCCGCCCGGACGCCTCTGAGCGCCGCTCCACGCCCATTCCGGAAATGGGGCGGGGCTACTAACGCGCCTGCGCCCACGGAAAGGAAGTGGCTGTTGGAGGCTTTCAGGTGGCTTTAACTTTGTGCTGTCCTGGCGGCGCACCGTTTTGGTCGGAGTCGGGCTTGACAACGCTCGATGGCTTTGGACGTGAAGTCTCGGGCAAAGCGTTATGAGAAACTGGACTTCCTCGGGGAGGGGCAGGTGAGGCTCTCTGGAGGACTGGGAGGGCCCGCAGCGACAGCACCGCTTTTCCTCAGTCTTTGCAGGTTTTCTCGTGGAGGCCAGAGAACGCGGCTGGCTGCTCGTTCTCGTCGGAAGAGGCTGCCCAGACTTACCTGCTGCCCGCACTCTTTTCCATCCTGGAGGTGAACTCCTGAGCGGCCTTCTCCTTTAGGAAGAACACGCTGGCCCCAGGATGTTTCAATCCGCGAAGCCGCTCCAGAATCGTAGATTCTTTGCTTCCCAAAATGTAAAAAAGCAAAAAGGCAAACATCAAAAAACTCCGACAAACTTACATCATTCCTGTTTTTCTTTCTAGTTTGCCACGGTTTACAAGGCCAGAGATAAGAACACCAACCAAATCGTCGCCATTAAGAAAGTGAGTTACCATTTATGTTTTCTTCACCTTCTCTGGAAGATGTCTGTATTCTGAGTTGATAGCCATTTTACTGCTCTTGACCTAGACTCAGATAATGAGAAGTTATGTCATTTTCAAAAACAGGAGAATTATTGCTTTGTGTTTCAAGGTGGAACTCTGGGGTTGGACCAGATTTCTTTTCCACTTTCAAAGACAGGATTAATTAGTGCTTTGTGTTCCAAGGTGGAACTCTGGGGTTGAACCACTGTGCTTTTAAGTTAAAATGAAGCGGAAACTATGTAATTTTCACTGCATAAATTCTCATGATGCCTAAGAGGGCAGATACAGTCCATCTGTTAGGTCCTCAGAATTATTTGATATCAGGCTCAGCACCAGCCACATACACCAAAGCTGGCGGATTGGAGTTCAGCCCAGGCCTGCTAAGCAACAGTGATAACCGCAACCAGAAAATAGCCGAGCGTTGTGGTGGGCGTCTGTAGTCCCCTACTTGGAAGGCTGAGGTAAGAGAATCACTTACACCCAAGAGTTTGAGGTTGCTGTGAGCTGTGACTCCATGGCATTCTACCAAGGGCAACATGGTAAGACTCTGTCTCAAAAAAAAAAAAAAAAAGAATTATTTGCTCTTGTGATCTTTCCAGGTCACTGTTTTCTGCCTCACCTGCATCCACTCTGTGTGCCATTTGTATTTACTGTGCACAGATGTACCATGAAAGGCTTTCGATAGAATAAACAACACTGATGTGGTACATTTTCTAAAATGATTTAAGTAGCTTGTTGTATGCATTCAGAAGACTTGGGTTATAATTAGCTGACCTTCCCTTTTGTTTTAAGTTATTTATTTATTTATTTTGAGACAGAGTCTCACTTTGTCACCCTTGGTAGAGTGCCATGTCATCATAGCTCACAGCAACCTCAAACACTTGGGCTGAAATGATTCTCTTGCCTCAGCCTCCTGCCTCCTGATGACCTGGGACTACAGGTGTCCACTAAAACGTCCCACTATTTTTTTTTTTTTTTTTTTGGAGACAAGGTCTTGGTCTGGGTCAGGCTGTTCTTGAACCCGTGAGCTCAGGCAATCCACCCTCTTTGGCCTCCCAAGAGCTAGGATTACAGGCTTGAGCTACCAAGCCCAGCCTGAGTTTTTCATTTAACTATCAAAAACAGCCTGTGAAGTAGGTAAAGCTAACCCTATTTTACACTCTAGGTCCCTGAGGATAATAGAGATTAAGTCAGCAAAATCACACAGCTAATAACTACTGAATCTCCAGTTGGTAGACTCAAGTGATCCTCCTCCTTCAGCATCCCAAGCTGGGACAATAGGCATAGGCCACTGTGCCCAGCTCAAAAGCTAGGATTTAAAAATCCAGGTGTCCTGATGTTTCTTTAGGTCTTTTTGCTACCCTGAATCTGTTTCCCCTTCAAAAACCCTAACCCCTTTGAAAGAGTCTTCAGACTTATATTCATTCCCACTCCCTTTTTGTCATCTTCCAGCCTCCAGGTATTCCCTCTCATTCACTTAACAACTGGCTCTTTCTCTTCCTCTCCTCAATTATTCCTTCCACCATTACCCTTCTCTTGACTTCTTAATTTCCCTCATGTTCTTGTTTTCCAGGTTATGTTATACCTGTATGATCTGCCTTTATGGATGGCAACTTCTTCATAAAACCCTTACCTCTCCTGATCCTTTTTTTTTTGAGACAAGAGTCTCACAATGTCATCACAACTCACAGCAGATTCTCTTGCCTCAGCCTCCCAAGTAGCTGGAACTACAGGCGCCTGCCCCAACGCCCGGCTATTTTTTTTTAATTATTTTTTATTAAATCATAACTTTGTATGTTGATGCTTTTACTAGGTTCAGGGTACTGCTTCAATATCCAGCTGTTTTTTTGTTGCAGTTGTTATTGTTATTTAGCTGGCCTGAGCAGGGAGCGAACTTGCCACCCTCGAGTATGTGGCTGGCACCATAACCATAGTGCTGTAGGCGCCAAGCCGCTCTCCTGACCCTTGTATCATCTTTTTAGTTCTCCCCTTGTTTACTATATTGTAGCCACACTGACCTTTTACTCTCTCTTGGACCCATTAAATTCGTTATAGCCCCAGAATCCTTACATTTTTTATGCCTTCTGGTTGATATATTTTCCCTCCAGACTAGAACTTAGTATGGCTGATTCTTTTGTCTGTTTGTTTTTAAGAGACAGAGTCTCACTTTGTCACCCTGGGTAGAATGCCTTGGAGTCACAGCTCACAGCAACCTCCAGCTCTTGGGCTTAGGCGGTTCTCTTGCCTCAGCCTCCAGAGTAACTAGAAATACAGGTGCCTGCCACAGTGCACAGCTTTTTTGTTGTTGTTGTAGTTTGGCCAGGGCTGGATTCAAACCCACCACTCTCGGTATATGAAGCCAGCACTCTATTCACTGAGCCACAGGCACTGCCCAGTCTTTCGGGGTTTTTTTGTTTGTTTTTTGATACAGAGTCTCACTATTTCACCCTTTGGTAGAGTGCTGTGGCATCACAGCTCACAGCAACCTCTAACTCTAGGGCTTAAGCGATTCTCTTGCCTTGGCCTCACAATTAGCTAGAACTACAGGCACCTGCCATGATGCCTGGCTTTTTTTTTTTT